TCAGTTTAAGGCACTGAGATGTTAATTTTCTTTCACAGAAGGATTCTCTGGCAGGGACAGAGTTTGATTCTACCATGTGTCAATCAGCTGCATGCTTGTAAGCTTATCGTTATTGACACTGAAGTTTCCTCACATTGCTACTTCCCAACTTCAGTCACAAGTAGAAAAGAGGTGTTGGGCACAGCAACACATCCACCTGACTTACCTGCAGAGCACAGTGTAACATTTTCAACCTTTTTTTTTGACAGTTCTTAACTTTTGGGTTCCTAATTTGGCAATCTTTATGCCCTTTTAACACAAGGGTCTGGTTATTTTTTAAAATTAAAACCTCTTAAAGGTTCCATGACTTAAAAATTTAAACTGATGATTCATGAATTGATTTGCAGATTATCCAAAAATGTAATTGCACCCGAGGAATAAACAGCTGTAAGATGGCTGAGGGCTAGATGCTGAGTTTTCTCATCCAAAGGTAAATGACTGAGTTGAAGCTTTAATGGCAATATAGCACTCAGCCTTAACTACACCTACTACCCTAATTACAGCCTTACCTGCAGCTCCTGCCTTCACTGCAGCCTTAACTACCCACTGCTGCTGGAACCTTTCCGTAGTGTCTCCCTGCCTTTCTTTTCTCTGTGATCTATGGCTGTCACTTTCCCCACTCAGAATGCCGGTGTCCTTCTCCTGAATTCCCTTTATCTATTTTGCTACCCCTCTGATCTTCCCCTTCATCTCAGCCCTTTGCTACCCAGCATGGGGGGGAAGCAGAGGCAGCCTTTTGCTCTAGTGGGTAACTCCTGCCTCTGAAAGACAGCTTGGAGGCAGTGATTAAGAGAGAGGAAAGAAGGACTCTAGAATTGAGCAACAGCAAAAAGAGCCAGATGTGTGAGGATTTCTCTGCAGCTGTACAGCATCCTATATCAAGGTAACTTTATGCCTTGAAGAATAAATATAATCATAAAATAAAATAATAATAAAAACAGAGGAAAGGAGACTTCTTGTTCCTCCCTCTCTGCAGAAACGCTGCATCTGTCTGTGAGGCCTAAAGGATGGCCCCTCAAACCAGCTTTTCTTCTTCCCCAAGTAGTACTGTCTTAAGGCATGGGACCAAAGGACTGAGGCATGGGCACTTATCTTTACTGGGACTTGGAAACCCATCAGGCAGTATAACACATGGTTTGTCTCATTGTGGAGTAGGATCACACAGCTTTTCCTGTCCTTCTTGATCAACTAACCACTTGTCTGGCAAAGCAGTTACTGTGCGTTCCCAGATAAACCATATGTGCCCAATGGATTTGTGTGTATGCAGTGCAGGTCTCTCTGACCCACGTAAAAAAAGCTAACTCACAGGCACATCACATCTGCACTGACGATATGGCCCTGGTTGTCTCAGATCTACTGCAGCTGCACAGTATCTTGATATGCACAGACCAAGAACTACATTTCTAGTTTCTCAGATGAAATTCAGAAAAGATACGTCAAGAATATATACATTTCCTTCTGCATGCCTGACTTAACTAGTCCTGGATTTCACCATTGCGCTCTTATCTTATTTCCTCTGGTTTAAATCCCACGTAAATGCTATAAGGTCCCCTAAGATCCTTAAGATTATTGTGTCCTAGAGTCACAGCTGTGAATGACCATTCAGAGAGCCCTTCCTGCCCTGGGCAGACTAGCCTTGGAAAATCCCCATCACCCTGGCAATAAACACTGCCAACATCGCTGCTTTTTTGCAGTGGTACCCGCAGGCAGCAACTCTTTCTTGATCTTGCTGAACGATATATTTATTTGTTATCAAGGGCAGACTGGGGCTTTTGCTGCGCAGAGATGTAGCAGAATGATGAGGAGGTGGCCTAGGGGAAGAGACAGGGAATGTTGCTCTTGACACATCTATATTGAATAATTAGTGATAAGAGCCAAAGAAATATTCATGACTCTGTAGAAAGATAAATAGATTTTTGATTAAATTTGAGTTTTGTCTTTACAGCAGTTGAAGTTGCAGTGTGATTGGTAGAATGGAAATTAGGTTTTTATGGATTCTGGCTGACTGGAGGATCTCTTTTAAAGCTGTTAGCCAAGATAATGCTGCAGATATCTAGCTAGTGTGTGCTGGCAAGAATTCAGAATGGCAATGCCAGAAACCCATGTTCTCTGGGCAGTTGCAATGCAGCTGTTGAATGATCGAATCAGTCCAATTTGTTCAAAGGATTTATTATAACATTTTTTCCACTCAGACTCTTAGACTTTTGCAGAATTTCAGTGGTGCCTTTTAAGATCTATGGTGCATTCCACTGCAGTTCAGCAGACCTCAGAAAGGAAAACACTTCAAGGGCGTTTGCTAGTGGGACACATAAATACCTATGTACCTATCTTGAGTTCTTCACAACACTTACATTATTCTTTTCAAGGATGTTAGCACAGGAAGCTATCAAGGTGGTTGCCCTGCTCAGCACCCACAATTAAGAGTTCTAAAATCCTTGTTGGAGTCATAACATACAAATAAAAATTCAGGAATGCTCTGCAAATTGAGATACTAACTCTTCCAGTCCACTCCAGTGCCACTGCCATCCAAAAAGGGTTGTACTGAAGGATATTGCTGAACCATACAGGATGGCATGCAGGATTTGAGAAGTCTGGCCGAAGTTTCTAGGTCAGCCACAGGCACCACCTGTAGCAGGCATTTAATGTACTGTGTGTGTTCATGACTCAGACAGAGAGGCAGCTGTACCTTGCCAAACCTAAAATACATGTGACAGTGAGAAATTCAAACATGCTAAGTGACGAGAGCTTGACAGTTACCTAGAATTTGTCTGCACTTCTTTTACCACCCCCCACCCCCCCATATATTTTCCAAACCTCATGTGATGTACAGAACATGTTAGAACTGGCCTTTCTGTTCTAAGGTGACTAAACTGAGTGAATATCCTTGTTCCATGTAAGTCCTGTACTCTTTTTGCTACCATGCGGGTTTTTTTCCAACAGTTGCATTACTGTGTTCCCTACAGTTCCCACACTGCCCTCCTTCAGTGTTGTGTTTAAGCAGTCCAGCACTAGTGAGAGTTGTACTTGTCAGGCCTGGGCTGCAGTCCCAGTTGTGGTGCTGCTCCTTACTCATGCTTTGTGTGTGCCTTAGGGGTGGCCTGTACCCTCTACAGCACTGTTAGATATGAGAAAAAGATTACATCACTAGTCAAGCATTCTCTCAAGAATAATTTGTCTTCTGAAAGCTTGCAAAATCATGTGTTGGTCCAGTGTTACGACTTTTTGTGGCTTAGATGTTGGGGTTTTGGAAACAGTAGGTGTAGTTGAGACATGGGGAGTTAGAAATTAATTTAGATATTCATCCATGAATCATAGTGCAGGTCTTGGTTTGCTATAAAGAGGCAAATTCACAGGAAACAATATATTTTGGAAGTTTGGGAACATGTACACAACATTAAGGTATTGTATTTCTCACTATGGCCTCGCTTTCTCTCTTGTGTATGAAAGCTGCAGTGCCATTGCTCTTACTTTAGTCAGAAGAGTAGACTCATGGTGAGGTTCTGGTCACATTTTCAAACAGGCCAGCTGCAGCTTTTAAAAATGTTAAGTAACCTTGTCCGTGTTTCCATGGCTGTCAGTGACAGAGCTACACAGAGAGCCTGGGTAGTCTGTCCTACCCACTAGACACAAAACTGTTCTTTCTGGTCTTCCAATGAGCAGCTCTAGCCAGCTCTCTTAAGGAGGCTCTGCCTCTCATTATCTGTTTTGACTCTTGAACCAAAGTTTTTAAAATGTAGTCTAAACTAAGGCACTACTGAGCAAACAGACTGGTTAGAATAGCTGTGAATAGCCCATTTCTTTAATGGACCCAGAGTTGGTGTTGTATTAAATATTGGATTAAGCTACTGAATTCCACTTTTCCTGAAACTTGTGAGGGATCAACTGTATTTCTCTCTCCTCACAGAAGCTTTGCTGTCAGGGTAGCTGCACTCCCAAGTGTACACTGAGTTTATTGTCATACTCTGCCAAAAGCTGTGATACCAAATCAGGGCATTCTGTGCCCATGGGATGATATTTTGCCACAAGATAAGTGTAGTGTGTATGGAAATTCAATTAATGGGCTGTCTCACTGGGCATTAATATAGCATCCTAGCACAAAGCTAACCTCCCTGTGCTTCTGGTTTGCTCATTACTTTGTGAGACAGGTATTGCCCAGCCATGATTGCATTTGTCACAAGAAACACATGCACAAATGAAGACAGACTCAGGGACTGCTGGGAGGTGTCAGTATAAACAATAGCATGATTTGCACACGGGTTTCAGACAGTTTGCATCCCTTTTACTTGTCAAGTTACTTTAATGAAGGCTATAAAATAGATAGCCATGGCTATAATCTTTAGGAATTAAAATTATTACCTGGCAAGTTGAAGTAATTAACTCTCCTCAGACAGGAATCAAACAAGAGATATATGGGTAGAAGGATGTGAAAAAAATATATTAACTCACCAGGTAATAGTGCTACTGTCCATCAGTTTATGTTTTTTTAAAGAAAAAAAATTTTTAAAAGGCATGTTGCAATCATGTATTGGCAGCTTTTGTGACCACTGATGTAAATAAGAGTCATCTTAGCAGAAGAGATACCAGACATGGTTTAGGGATGCATCTGTCTTTTTTCCTGTAAAAGGCTTTGCAGTGTGGGCCTTCCTTTTAATTAGATACAAAGCCAAGTTAAAGGGTGGGATTAGAGAGCTGGAATTTTATACTCACAGAATGTGCCTCATCTTCCCTTCATTCCTTGCTTTGAATAAATTCATAGCAGGGCCATAGAGTTTTAAATTATGCTAGTTCTTGACCATTTTTTAAGCTTGTTAGAAAACTGTTCTTGTTGAAAAATGTGCTGGTTTGCACACTTGTATTCTGTATAAGCAAGTCTATCATCATTCTGCTAAAGAAAATGGAAATGCACATAACCATCGATACCAGGCTATTACATACTCATTTGACTGTATTTTGTCTTTCAGATCACCACATTATGCTTGTCCTGAAGTCATCCGGGTAAGTTGGTTAATATTAGTGTACAAAAATACCTTGTTTGAAGTGTCCCTCATTGCGAGTACACAGATAGATCCTCTGTACAAGGAATCTGCCCAAGGCAGAGGGAAAGAAAACGATACAAGGAACCTAAAAAGAACTTTGTTTGTTTGGCTCAGCCCTGAATCAAGCCATATTGGGAAATAATTGCATGCTATTCTCACAGTACCTTTGCACCATGTGTTCAGACAGAAGTACAGGAACCTGGCTTAATTTGATCTTTTGACCCAAGGGACATAGTCCCCTCAGATTTCCTGTCTCTGATGTAGCTGTCACCTCAGTAGAAAAGCTGGGATTGACTGTCAGTGATATTTGTTTCCACTAAGCAATATTCTTCCCCCCTGCTTTCCCTTTGTCCTCTGAAAATAAGTATCCATGATTTCAGTGCCCAAGATTGTCCTCTCTACTGTATGTCTATTGCATGTCTCTACTGTAAAGTCAAGCAGGAAGCACACAGGAGAGACTGTCCAGATGGCACTATGAGTTTGCAAATAACATGGCTGGTGACAAGCTCCCTGAAGAACCAGGGCAGGGAAACACACCTTCTTGATGTCCTTAATGCACCTGTTACTCTGTTTAAATGCCAGATCTGATAATTTGTGAGTTGTCAACCATTCCTGTCCTGCTCCCCCTTCTGAGCCTTTCCTCACATATCCCAGATAAGACTGCAAGCTGATATTCACAAAAATTCAGTTAGCCAGCTGTGTCATGGCTTCCTCCTGGTTGGGAAGGCCAACTTGGGAAGCAGGTAGCTGAATTGAAATGTGGGGTTTCCCATTCTCCCCTCTCTTATTCCTCAAGGATAATTAATTAATTTACCAGCGATCGGTCTTTTGAACCTCTGTGTCGTTGCTGCGCAGGGAGAAAAATATGATGGAAGGAAAGCAGACGTCTGGAGCTGCGGAGTCATTTTGTTTGCGTTGCTAGTGGTGAGTCATCTTCCTTGCACTAGCCTTTAAAAAGAAAAGAAAAATCTGAAAGTGCTGCTGTATTTAATGGCAATTCTATTGCATCATGTACGGATGGTTTTTTTTAGTCCTCTATTTTTGTATCGCTCAGTGGCATCCTTTCCTCTTATTTCTACATCAGCCCCAAAGGAAAAGCATGAGGAATATTTCACTGCGTCTTTGAAACGCTGTTGCCCTGCACAGGAGAGCACAGACAGGCATCAAAAACTTGTCTCCATAAATGCTCTTTGTTGTGTTGCGATGTTGCACTGCATTTTTTGATGGGTAAGGATGTGTAGAGTTGCAGCTTCAAGATACAGAGTGTCAAACAAATTGTTCTTTACGGAATCAAGACATGGCTGGGTTTGGGATGTGTTCACTTATTTCTGCTGTATTGTATGTATGTGCTTCAGCAGGTATATGCATACATTAACTGCAGTATTTTTTCAAGGAAAGACTTGAGAACCTCATCTTTGTTTCATGCAAGCAGTGAGCTCCATTTTAATTTGGTACACATGGGAATATAAAACTGAGCCAGTAGTACAAAGTTTAAATTAGTTTCCATCTGGCTCAGTAATACTTTAAGTGTTCAAAATGTGCTATCTTCTAACTTATCCTTCTTTTGATCAGAGTTTCAATTCTCTGTGGAATTTATTCTGAAATTAAGTTCTATTATAATACTCGTAAACATCCAACAAATGGGTGTCCAGCTGAAGGCAGATAGGCTTGGCATTTGTTATCAATTTCCACAGTATAATGTAGGAAAATATAGTTGATGTTAATACAAGCATATACCACATGCAGGTAGAATACTCTATATGAGTATATGTTTTATGTGCATTTTAAGTGCTTCATATCTGTAATAGTTCACCTGATCATCTATAATTATAAAAATAACAAGCCTGAAATAAAATTTTGATTTTTTTGTACAGTTATCAGTAAACCTGATTGCTTCACTTAAATGTTTTCTTTTGAAAAAAGTACTTGTACAGTGTCAAATGAGATAAATTGTGGATATTATTTTTGTTTAAATATTTTTAAATTTTAGAGGGTTTTTTGTATCAAAAGATATGTTGATTCTTTTTTAATGGCTCAAGTCAGAATACCTTGAAGTAATCTCAGTATGATGCTTTAATTCCCCTTAACCAGTCTTACTCTTTTCTTTTTAGTCATTACAATTCACTGACATTTTTGAAATTTTAATTTTTTTATCTTGATGTTGCACTGGAAGAATTTTAACTGTCGCACTAGATAGCACGTGGTCATCTCTTACTGACCAGTTACTTTCATAGCTGATAGAATAGAAGTGTATAATGAGCTTTTAATATAACTTCTTGAATTTGTAAGCACAGAAGAGAGAATGTGTCAAGATGGTTAGGATTTGTCGAGCAGGCTTTCCATTTTCAGGGGGATTCTCTGTCAATCTTGGGTGTCTGTTGCTGCATCTTTGTCTGTTCCTACATACACAAATGAGCCTAAAAAATTACTGAAATAAGTCTATTTATTGATGGAGAGTGCAGAGCTCCTCAGTTAAATTATGTCAGGACGAACCCTGCAAAAACTGTCAAGATATGATAGCATGCTGATGGTAGTAATAAAAGAGATGTAGTTGTTACCTTCAGGAAATGCCACACAGCATCCTTTCTGACTTCATCAGGGCTTAAATTGCATTAGCCAAAGTACTGAACTATCAGAATTTATTTTCCTTTAAGTCTGGAATGGATAGGAAAAACACAGGTATCTCTAGAGGTTGGTTACCGAAGGCAGGGAGAGGCTCTGCCTTCAAGGCCACTTGAATGAACAAACACCAGTAAGCAGTGCCCAGTCGTGGCTGCCATCGGGTGGCTTCCTGAGACTGCTGTAAATGGAGCTGTTGTTCTCCCTAAACCATAGACCCAGGATTGCTTATACAGATGCACTACTCACTGTAGTAAGAGCAGTGCAAGCGCTGACAACTTAAAACTTCATTATCACAGCAGCTGACAGCTTGCAGCTTCCCACAAACCGTCCTGGAAATCAAGGAAGCTCAGCACCTACTAGAATTAGGCAGTGAAAGAAGGAAGTGAGAATATCTAGGAAGGTACAGACTTGCTATAAAAAGGTATCAGCTTCAGTCAGTAGAGTTATCCTAAAGATTTCAACTTCTCTTTTTCCTTTTTGTCCTTGCAGCAAAGATAGGTCTTTTACTGCTTTTTGTAGCAAGCTGATGATCTATTCAAAATGTAGTTTCAGCTAAAAAAACTTCAAGCCATTCATGTAAGTGAGCTACAGTAGGGAAGCAATAGGAACTGATGACCTGACCACAGCATGGGAACTGGATGGAGTCTATTAAACAGGTAGAATGTCTGCTGCTTCCAAAGGCTAATGTTGGTTGGGGTTTCTTTCGGCTGTGTCATTTTAATGCTCCATCAGAAAGAGCGTGTTCTTTACTGAAAGTCTCTCAAAAGCTGTTCACCTCCTTTTCAATGTCTGCAATAAATGTGTCTCAGGAAGATTAAAAATAAGGAGACGATAAACATTGCTGCTGTGAAAGTATGCCCAGGAGGAATACCAGCAGATCAAAAGCTTCAGCTGAATTTAAGTGAATCCATGCATCTTTGGTGAATTTGCCTGGAAAGGCAATTTCATATTTTGTATTTTACTTTATACTGGTAGTTGTTTTCTAATCAAAGGTCTAATTAAAAAAAACAATGTCCTCAGTTTTGTTTCCTATGTTAGAAGAAATACAGCAGCACTAAGAAATTGTTTCTTTTCAATGGATAAAAAGTTTTTTTCACTCATCAGAAAAACTCATAATGAGCTGACTCCTCTTTTCCATTCTCTCACTGTGTTTATCCTGGCTTTTCTCCTTTGGCCATCTCCAGTTCTCTCCCACTGACTGCTCTGTCCCATCCCTGCAGGGTGCACTGCCGTTCGATGACGACAACTTGCGGCAACTGCTGGAGAAGGTGAAGCGTGGAGTGTTCCACATGCCCCATTTTATCCCCCCCGACTGTCAGAACCTTTTGCGGGGGATGATTGAAGTGGATGCCTCGAAACGTCTCACGGTAAGGAGGCAACGTGAGCAAGGCTTCATTTCTCGCCTTATTGCAGGAATGGTTGAGCAGCTAAGGTAACTTGGTGATTTAGTAGCATTCCTATGTGTTTCCTCCTGAGCAAAGAAGGAGTGGAGTTGGTGGAGTCTTTGAGAAGAAGTTAGTTACCATTTCTTTTGAGTCATGAGGACAGATTGCTTTTGTGTTTTTTTTCTGTAACCTCATGATTCCCTTTCATATGTAACACTGGGCATTTAGGAGAAGTCCCTCGTAGCTCATTACAGGTCTACTGGCCTATTCACACATTTTGGAGTCCACCTGAGTTTTCTGAATCTTCTGTCTGATATAGCAGTTTGCTGGGGGTGTGATGTAACTGTTTGAAGGTCACAGGTGTTAGGACTGGTATTTGAAGCTTTGCCATTAAACAGAGTGTGGTTTTCTTACATTTCTGACAGAAGTGTTGGCTTCTCACTTCAACATAAGCTGCATTGTTCTGCATTATCCTCAGAGCAAGTGTCTGCCAGTCTGCTCTTTCATCCTGTGCCCTGTGGTCCTGAGCACTGTCAGTCCCACAGTGTTGAGCTCCTGGCATTCAGCATTGAGTCTGCATCTAGGATACATCCCATCACTACAACAGAGACCCTGCAAGAGTGAGGACTGTGTAGTGATTGTATCCTTCACTAACATTGTGTTAATGTTTTAGGGAATTAAAAAACATTGGCAATTAAAATAATTTTGGAAAGTAAGATTGCCTGCTTGTCAGCGGAGGCGTGTGCCTCTGTGGGTACATTGCCCCTGTAAATCCTATTGTCAGCCCTTGGTGATGATTTTATACAGATTTACTAAGCTCACAGATTCTGAGTGGGAGTATGTATAAAGAAATGTAAATTTAAAACTCCTCCCGGTTCTTCAGTCTGCTAAAATATTTATAAATAAACTCTCAGATCACTGGTTGGCCTCTCTGCTGAGATTGGTAACAACAGTCTGTGCCAGCTGTGATGGTGCTTTTGGGATGCAGACACCTTTGCTGAGAAGTTAACTGAAACTCCCTTCGCAACTCCTTACAATATTACTTGGCATCTGGATTTTTCTTTCATTCATTACCAGTCCAGGTCATGCTCTATTTGGTGACATAGGGGAAAAGTTTTTCAGGTTATTTCTAGTATCCCTACTTTTGCAAGCCCAGTAGCCATCATATTTTGCAGTACATAAATACCACTGATTGAAAAAAAAAAAACATTACACACCCTAAAAGACCTTTTTTAAACAGATTTTTAAAGAAAGGTATAACATTTTCACAAGTATATTCACAGAAAGAACAATGAAGTTGTTAAAGCAATATTCTGAGAGATGAGACAGCTGTTCTTCACGGCCAAGAAAGTCACTAAGTCCCTCTCAAGCTTAGCTTCCTTTCCTTTATGTAAACATACCAGCTTCTCTCTTGTTTTGTTGGGGTTTTTTTCTCAAAAGAGTGCCAATGATCTAAGTATGTTAGGGAGCAGATAATCAAGTGCTAGATCCTTCTTCAGATTGTTCTGAATTTTTTCCACAGGGCAGAGACAGACCCTAAATACTTTGAGCTGTGCAATACAGCTGGGAATGTACATGCATAGGAGAGAAAGCAGTTGAGGTAATTCAAGGTCTCAGAGTGACACTCATCCCCCCTCCCTTTTTTGATCAAAATTAACCTCTTACTTCCTTAGGGAGGGAAAAAACCCCAGAACAGGTAGTTACTGGCAAGCACTAACCATTGAATTATGAATAAGTATTTGAAATAATACATATTAAAGAGCTGAGAGCTGGGAGGAAAAAATGTTGGCTCTTTGTTATTTGCTGCAGTCTTTTTTTCATTATTTGAGGGTCTTTGGGTTTGCTGTCCCTGCTGCTGTCACACTCCTGTGCTGTTAGTGAGCTGCTTGCTTTGACTGCCAGGCAGAAGGGAGCTCTTTGTTTACTGCACAGGAGCTGGGAATATAGAGTTCATTCTGAGGAGAGAGCTGAATTCTATTTTAACTGTGTCCTATGAAAAAGGGTATAAATATGGGTTTATTTTGAAGCCTCTATTCCTAGAAAACATCTCACTTGAATCAATTCAATATTTATACAAAGATGTGAGCAAAATTGCAGCTTGGGTACAATAAGTACAGATGTAGCTGTTACCATTACTGATCATTTGCTCAATACCTCACTAGTGAATTCAGCAGAAAAATACAGTGAAATGTAAGGTCACTATAATTTTTTTCTTTCATTTTTCACTTCCTCTCTCTGCTTTGTTCCTCTTTTTTTGATTTGTATCCCTTTTCCTTTTCATCCAACTGCATTTCCCTCTCTGCAGTAATTGCCATTTCACAGCACACCCACACCTTCCCCAGTCCATCTGTTAAAATGATCAACAAAAACAGAACCAGCATTCACGTTTGACTGTCATCATTTGCTTCAGTGTTGGAGCTTGAGAAGATTAATGGAGGGGAGGGTACTCAGAATTATTGTTGCTGGCCCTTTCCAGCCTGAAGAAGCAGGCATTACCTTTCTATGTATATGATTCATTTATGGGAACAAGACTTTATTATTTCTTAGTGGAATATTGTTCACATTCACCATGTGTTACATAGCCTCAAATGCAGTTAGTGGGACATCCTTGACCACTCTCATTTACTGGCTCTGTTTTACTAAACATGCTGTAACATAAAATAATTTGTGTTTTTCTTTCATTAAACATAAGCTTTTCACTAAAAGTTAATTCTAGTTCCTGGTGGTGGTATTTCTGACCACCCATATTTATGAAAGCTGAAATCAGACAAAGAATGAGTACTAAGATGATCAGCATTTGAAAGAGTCTGTCTGAATAGTATGGTCTAAAAGAGCTTCAGTTAATGTACATAGATAATGTCTAAGAAAGGTTATACTGGTTATCTGCATATTCATTAGAGGGAGTTACTAGGGAGAGGAGCATTATTTAAACTAGAGGAAGATACTGGCACTAAAACAAACTTACGTCAAATGCCCTTACATGAAAGTGAGCTAGAAGCAAGAAGAATTTTAGGCATATCTGTGGGGTTCTTGGACAGCCTTCAAGCACAAATAGTGTCCGGAGGGAGAAGTGAAGTAGTAATAAAGTTTGAGAAGGCTTATATGGGAGGTGTGTTCTGAGTGCCTAAAGTACTGCAGGATGAGGTTTCTTTTAGTTATGTTTTCTTCAAATGACTCAGAGTTGCAACGGCAGAGAATTACAGCTCCTGTAGTAAAAACCAGTTGCATTCTCAGCCAATATTTTCTTCTCCAGAAAGACAAAGGGTAGAGGCACTTGTCTTTTAAAGATGGATTAGCACTACTGAAGCTTTGTTTCTAGAGCAAGGTAGATCAGAGCAGAATAAGCTATTCCAATAAAGCTGTTACTGTTCTAGCATTGACATCTTATACTGGAGTAGAATTACTTGTCTTCCATGTTAGGTGTCCACATAGGTGGAAATACCTGTCCCTGAATATTATTTAAAAATTCCTTGAGCAACACATATTTACAGAATCTCCTCACTACTTTCTGATTTTGTTTTTTCTTGGATCTGATGCTAATGATGCTATGCAGAATCTAAAGAATATTAAGAAATGAAGAAGGGAAAACTCCCCTGATTCATTTCTGTAAAAGATCTTATGGTAAGGTGCCTATTCCATAATTTAAATTTTCTCAGTTTACAACCTGTAGAACGGAGATAATTGTCCAGTTGATGTATTTAGGCTGCCTAGGGCCTGTTCATGCCCCATGCACATAGGACAGTGATACTTGTCCTTGTCAAGGTCTCTAGAGTCTGCTTTAGTACAGCTGCTACTGCTGAAATGGGTAATGGTTTTACCAGTGCTGTTTGCTCTTCAGCCTGAACCCTGTGGCCAAGAAAAGCCTGTGTCTTGACATTACACAGTAGGTTTAAAGCTCAGACGAGATCTTCTGGATGAAGAAGATTCATTTGAGGTGTGGGTGCACAGATGGGTTTGAGGCTGGTCCCTTTCCGGACAGGGAAGTTTGAAATTTGACGTGAGTTCAAGCCCTCATCTATATCCACAGACTTTGAGAAAGTTTTTCTTCAGGGCAGAACTTTTTAGCTTGGCAGCTGCTCTGCTGAGATCAGTGCTGAGGATGTAGACAGCGCTGTCTTGTTTTCCATCTGCCTGTCTCCATCTGTTGTTCCCTGCCTTAGAATTCAGACGTAAGCTCTTTGTGGGAGGAGACCTTTTTCTGATAAGCTTGTGCAGCTCTGTATCACAGTGGGTCTCTCATCTGTGAGAGAGAGATGTGCACTGAAGAAGCTCATTGATGCTTCTTCAGTGTACAAGTTTAGTATTTTGAAGTATTTTTACGTAAAACCATGATAAAGGAATTCTCCCTCTCCTTCCATTATGGCATCTCAGCCTGCAGAAATCTCTCTGACTGTGCATGTGCAGTGGATCTGAGCATGTTTCGTTAGTTCAGAGATGATGTCATGAGACAGTTGCCTGCAGTGACTAGGAGACATTAGGAAGCAGCATTTTTACAACTTTCATAAAATGGTATTAAACTTGGCAAACTCATGTGCAAACAGCAAGAAAAACCCTCTGGGAAGGGTTGTTAAATGCCTTTGTCACTTAAATGCATTTAAACATTGTGTTTAAATGAAGGCAGGAGTGAGATTAGCTCCCACTGTGTATCTCCCTCCCCTGCACTGCACAGTAGAAAGCGTACAGACTTCTCCTTGTCAAAACCAATCGCCCTCCCATAACCCTCCTGTCACTTTAATGCAGACAAAAAGCAACAAAGCATTAATTAATTACCTTTAAAACAGTAGTGAAGATGTTGACAGCAGCAAGCACACTTCTAATAACATTTCAATGCAATTACATTTGAATCAGTATAGGAAGTGGGTTTGTAGAATACTTTTCATACCTGGGATATCCCAGCATATTTCACAGCAATGGTTTTGATGTGGATTGAATGGCAAATGTATGGGTAAACAGCAGCCATGAGAGCTGTCATACACCTTCAAATGTGTATCAAGGTGCAATGGGCCATCTCTTTCAGAAAAATGCTCTGTGTTCATTAATTTGAAGGAGGTTGATCAGCAGGGATGGGCAGGAGTCATTTGCCATCTTCTCTGAAGGAGCCCAGAGGCTCTGTGAATAAGACATGAACTGATGACCCTCTTTTCTTTCCCCTCTCTAACTCAGAAAGTGAAGTGCTGCTATCTGCTTTGCCATGGCATTTCTGTATGTCACAGGCACACAAGAGCACAGTGTCCCATGGAGGCAGAAAATGCAGCAAGAGAAGCAAGCATGAAAGAGACTTGGACATTGCATAGCTGTATCATCTGCATCTTGTCTGAAATCATTAATCTCTCTAACCCTCCATGTGGTGTATGGGAAATAATGAGTAGATGTGGTTTTACCAGCACAGGAGGCACAGTCCACCCCTTAGCAGATCCTCACAGAACTGTACTTCTGTTAAGGAGCAATTCTAAAATCCTGCCCCGTGGAAGCTGTACAAAATAGGCTCTCCTTATGCCCCGTGGTTGTACCTCAGCTTGCACAGAACCAGAAGGAAGAAGGCTGTGTCTCCAGGCTGTTGGGGGAGCTCCCAAATCATATCTTTATCTCGACAGGAGATGGCAGTGTGTCAGGAATACTCTACCTTGCTCTTAAGAGTGCAGGGGTTAGAGGACTACCTAATACAGGGGAATTGTGATGAAGGGCAGTTACTGTGGCAGGCAGATGCCACGGCTGGAAGCTCTGCCAGCCTGCCTGGGCTGATGGATGTGTGTGCTGGGGGCATTGGCACTGGTTAGAAGACAGGTATGTGAGTGCCAGCTGCACCTCTGGTTGCAGTGTTGATGCATTCTGGGGTTTAAAGGAGACTGTTTGTTTCCCACACTGTTCCCTCCAGCCTCCTGTCACACTTTCCTAAGCTGCATTCCGTTGTTTCTTTCTTTTCAGGAAAAGCCCTGACTCACCTAAAAAAATGATCTCATATATAGCCAAACTCATGTCTTACTGATTTCCCAGACATGGAGCTATTGCTCCATAGCACAAAGGTCTCAGATTCCTTGTTCTCTGTGGCAAACACTTTATATCTCTGAGATTTTGTTGTTTGCCTGTTCCTTATTTTTTCTTTCTTTTTGTTTCTTTTCCTCTCTGATTCTAATTATTGTGGAAGTGGAATGTAATAAGAGCAGGACAGCTGTCACCATTCCTCCTGACCATTGCAATGGGTCTGTGATTTCCTCTCATATGAGTTTTCTTCCAGCTCTCTCCTATCTTTCCCCTGAATGTTGCACAAATGTGAGCCCATGTGCAGTGAGTATGCATTTTGTTCTGCACCTACAAAGGTGCTGCATAGTGATGAATATAAAAAACATTGCCCACATAACAAATAATCCCTGGACATCTAAGAAAAGTTCTTTTCTGTAAGTATGTCATATGAAGCTTCTGTTCTCTCTGCTGATGAGGGTTTATCTTGGAAAAATCATGTTGCCTTATTTTCCTGTGCTTGTAGGAAAAGATATCATCATAATGTTTGTGGAATCTGCCTTCCATAGGTGGGCATGGCTACTTTCAGCTTTAATCAGTCCTTCAATGCATAGTGAAATTCTCATGTGTGGAACAGGAAAGAGGGAAGTAAAATAAATTTGTGGTCTGGTGTTCAGGTGCAGAATTAGTAAATTGCATAAAACCTTATTCTGCTTGGTCCTTAGATTTTGATGATAAGTTTGAAGCCAATCTAGAATGCATCCTCTGTCCAGGAAAGTCACGCCACAGATGCAGGAATTATTTTGTTTATTATCTCTTTGAACCTATTTTCTTCTTTATTCCTCTCTCTTTTCCTCCAAAACAAAACTAGAAATGCAATTTAAGTATAAAGGATCAACTATTATGCACATACAAAAAGGAGCAGTTAGATTACAGAGGGAAGGACTTGGGAAGGGAAAAGCTTGCATTTCCAAAACAGTTACCTGTGAAGCCTTGCACTTATCATTTGCCTGGGATTTGCTCTTGACTGATGCCTTATGTCTGGAATTCAAATGTCATTTCCATGTGGGATGGGTATTTATTCCACTAGGATGAGTGGCTCTTTATGCAGCATAAAGTTCCTGTTGTATGCATATGTTTATCTTTGAAATTTTGGATTTACTTGAATAAGCCTTGAATAAGGATGCCTTGTAGAGTTACCTTTTCTATTTTACAGCACTAATTCCTTGTTTTCTTTTCCTTTACAGCTAGAACATATTCAGAAACACATATGGTATATGTAAGTAACTTTAAAAAAATTGTTTGCATACATTCGTTGTTGCTTCTGGTATTCTAGTGGTCTGTGAAGAGACCACTAGAAGAGTGAGACTGGAGTTTGAAAGCAGGTTTCATATACATGAGAAAAACAGGCAGAGAACAGAAAAACATCTAATTTTTAATTTTCCTACCCTTTGCTATTCATATAATTGCATTTATATGTACCGACCGAGGAGCTTTTTTGGTACAATGACTAGCAACTGTTTGAAATAAGACATTCAGTCCAACAACTTGCTGTGTTAAAGAGATACCTGCAGGTGATCAGCAAAAAAATACCCAGCTAGCAACCATATTTAGTTTGCGATCCAAGTGCTACAGACAATCCCTTGTAATACCTTCTTGACAAGAAAGCTTTCATTTGTTCCTTCTTGGCATCTCGGCTTTTCTCTGAAGTAGAAACAAAAATGATGATATTGATAAGTAAGCACCTGTGAGCAAGAGCTTCTCTGTCTCATAATCCCCACTCCTTTTTCATAGCAAGCTAAGAGGCTGTTCCTGGCCTTGTAACCTGTTGATGTGAGAGTACTTCTGTGACTTGATTAAAAACAGCAGTCCTGACAGTGAAACAGGAGGTCTGTAAGAATAGTACATACTTGTCTGGTGGTTTGAGTGTAAGAAAGATTGATGGCTTTTAAAAGTGACCTTGCTCTTTGTGTAGTCTTAGTAGTATTTCAAGAAGCTTAAGTAAATAAACTCTTTATACTATGATATCTTAATCAAATTATGGAGAATACTTCACATAATAAACAAGGAAATTATGCTTGGATAAATTTCTCAGAGTCAGCATTTCCCAGGTGGGAAAGTCCTACCTTCATAATCCCACCATTACTCTTGAGAAGTACTCGAGGATGATATGAACTGATATATAAGCCTATCACCATGAAAAAAAACCACTTTTTCTTTATTTGTTTTGTTTTCTGTGTTATGGGCCAATTTTCACCTCTGGATTTATATGACTTCAGTAGGACCTGAGGGGGTTCAACATTTTGTTGAATAGCTAAGAAAATAATTGGAACTAAGAAAAAACTTAGTTTACCTGAAATAATGGCAGCACTTTGCCCATGGCTTTTCCATGCTCTCTTCAGTTACCAGACATGGCACCTTCTTAAACCACAGAAATACTGGAGATTTCCTACACTTTTTTTTTTGTTGTTGTTGTTTTTAACTCTCATGGGTAAATGTAGTACAAATGGAGTGAGGAAATCTCTAATTGTAATCTCTGAAATCCCTGCTATAAGGTCTTGCTAGCAATTGCAAAAGTAAATGCTGTATACATGAGATTGGACAGATAATCCCTTCTGTTTCTTCATTGAGTGAAATCAGCTGACACTCTCTGGGCTTTTATCAGAACTGGAATAGGAAATAAGTGAAAAGTTATATTTTTACCCTACTCAAGATTTTTGCCTGGAACTTTTCACTTGTTGAAGGACTGTTGTCCCAGGCTTACATATACAATTGTGCAGGTGTAATTTCATTACTTTAGTCTATATTTAGAATTTGAAGATTTTTTTTCTTTGGAGATATAAACACTTGAACACTTTAATGTTCTTCTCAGTGAAGGTCAGACTCTGTGATAATTGACACAGTAAACTCTATCTGAGGCTGTTTTCAGAAGTAGAAACTGAGTTTTGCAAAAGCAAGTTCCTCTAGACTCCCAGGGTACTCAGTGCAGAAAGGCTCTTCCAGATGTCTCTTCAGATTGCCTAAAAAGAAGTTTCTGCCCGAAATAGATTTTTTAATGAGTCTCTTTCTCATTTTCTCTGTACTGGCCATGGATTGACCTCAGGAGGCTAACATCCTGTGGCTAATTTTAGTCAGTGAATAACCTTGCCGCCTCCAAAACTCAACTGCTTTCATCTGGTAATGTTTCACAACCTCTTTGCATTTATTTTGCCTGGAAATACTTATGCTGTCAGAGAAGAAGGGGTTGTAGTGTTTTATCCTACAGCTCTTTAGCTCACCTCTTAGATTTTTTTCTTTATTTTATCTACTATTCCATGTAAAATCTTCATCCTTTGTCATATATAGGTTACTGACCTGAAGGTTGTACTCTGAACATCGAAGCAGTTTCACTTAATTCTTCAAACAAATATTGAGGCTACTGCAAAACTGAAGAAAAGATTTAATTGCAGATTTAGGCAGGCAGAGGAAGAGGTCTTGAAAGTTGAAATCATGATTCACAAGCCTAAAAAAAGGAAGAAAGAAACCTAAGTGAAACCTTTCGTCAGCAACCTCCAGTTCTTGCTCTCCCACCCAAATTAATTCAGTGAGGTTTCTCAAGCCTTTTTAATTGAAATCATTTATTTTTACCTCAAATGCAGGTTATCATAAACCAGAAAATAAACAGCAGTTATTTTCACAATTTTAATAAAGTAAGAGGGCAAATAAAATTACCTATTATGGTAAATATGTACTCCTGTAACATTGAGTTATTGCCTTAATTGTGAAGGTACCAACTTACTAAAATAAGAAAAAGAATAAATGCACGGGTTCTGCTTTGCTTTACACTGATGCAAATGGGCATCTCAGTGAGATTCATGAGAGAATTTCATGGAGAGACTGAAAAAGTCCACCCTGATCAGGAATCACAGCCATTGTATCCACCAATCCTCACAAGAGAGGGTGGGTTTTAAGGCAGCAATTACATTCATGTGGGCCTTTAAAAAATATATGTGATTTGCAGTAGTCACTCTGTGACATTGTTTGATGTCTGTGTGGGCTGCAATGCAACAAATTTGTCACTCTGCTAGACTGAGAATGGAACAAGCATTGCAGTCGTGCCAATCACAGCCCAGACCCGGTGATTTTCCTTTCCTGAAGCTCTGAATTGTGCTGCCAAATGACAAGACACCTCTTTGCAGATTTTACTTGTACCTGATGAGGAGGTGTGAAAATTCCTGACTGTGTCTGGGGCTGACCAGGTGCAGGGCATAAGGAAATGCCACCCTGGAGTGCAGGGAGGATGGCAAGCTGTGCTCTCTAGAAATGGCTCCTGTTCTGATTGATACTGAAGAAAATTGTAGATTCTATTCAGACAAGAGCAGCTAGTGGGAAACCCAGGTTTCCTGGAAAATTTCAAAGACAATAATTCTTTTTAATCTCTTAATTACCTTAAGGACATCTGCTTGTAACACGAATGATTAATTAAGTCAATACTTTTCAGAAGTGAACTGTAGATCATTAAAAAGCAAAAATACTCAGCTGCTGTTCAAAGGTCCATCCTGCAAAAATTTATCTTAATGACAAGGTCATCACTGGATTTAATAGTGCAAAGTTATGAACTAATCATTGCTTATTACCTTCCAAGGGCTAGATTTGATCCTAAGAGGTAGCAATAGTGACCTCTTATAAGGAATAAGATGTTTCTTTAGATGAACAAGGATTTTTGAGTTTAGCCCTTAGATTCAGGACCATGGTGGCATTGCAGAAGATACAGGTGCTTCTGTGAGACTCAAAGAGGGCATCAGAAGCTGTGGTTAGTGGTTTGACACACAAGAACAAATCCCGAGAAGCAGATTCCATGTCTTCTGTGCTTACTTACAGTGCCCTAAATTGAGTAAAACTGAATAGGGTGTGTATTAGTGCTCCTTGTAGGAGAAGTGGAATCTGACCCATGTTGTCATGACACATGTAATGAACACCAGAGTCTGACTCCATGACATCCAGGTAGGGCTGAGCACATTTTCACTGCTCCAAAAGAAGATAAAATGAACATTTCTGAGGAGTCTTTTTGCAAGTGATGTCCCACAAACAGAGCACAAACAGAGTAGATGCCTCACAACTGCATTTCAACTTGCTTAAAAATAAATTGCAAGTAGCACTCAGCAATCTCCTGTGATTGTCCCAGCATGTGACCTATCCTATTCTGGATACATTGACTTAGTATTGCCTTCTTACCTTGGAGAAGATAATCTGCATTGGCTCTTTTTAAGGTGTATTATCTCTCTTTTCGGTACACTGGCTGAGACCTTGGGTTCATGTATATGAGCCGACCAAAGTTTATTTCTAGCTTACACAAGAAAAACTAAGGAAATTTGGATTGGAACTCCTTTTTCTGTGTAGATACTTGGATAGCTTACATTGAGTCAGGAACATTTTAAACTGCGCAAGCAAATTCACAAGTTGGGGCCACCTTATTTCTTCCAGCATCAAAAGGAAGAATCTCTAGTCCAAACACAGCCCTATAAACAGCAAATGCAGTTGAAATATTCCTGATTCCTGTTGCCTATGCTGGGAACCTGGACCCAACAGTCACACATTTGCACCACATAAAGGAAAGGGAGGACCCCACTCACGGAGCAGGGAAACTTCAACATCACACAAAGTCACCATTGAGAAATAGCAGAGGTTCAGGGTAGACAATTTCTCCAACGAAAACACCAACACCACCACCAAACCCACCTCTTTGAGTGGATAGAGTTTACATGAATTGCTCACTGCCTACCGAAATAAAATCAAAGGATATTCAGGATGCTGCAATACATATCATTAATCAGTTAGAAATACCCTGACACCTTGACCTGTTTCTTGCAGTCAGGGCCTTTAATTGCAATGAATAATCAGTATTTCCTGAGCCTAGTGAATGGGATGAGATGATTGTGTAGAAAGCCTGTATTAACTACATTTGAAAGAGTAATATGTTCTACTGCTAATGGTGTGTTCTGAGGTCTGCCGCTGACCTCAGGCTTCGCACTTGAGTCAAAATTTTCAAATTTGCACTTCTTAAGAGAAAAAGAGGTTGTCGTGTTTGGGTGTGTAATTAAGCAGTGTGGTTTTCCCCAAAACACTTTAAAGTGTGTCGAGTGGGAGCCTGAGCACTGAGGTCTCTTAATCACATTGGAAGAGTTAACGAAAGGAACTGCTGCGGTGCTGGTTGTAATCAGAATTGGTGAAAAAGAGTGATGGTTTGTTCAGCACTCCTTCTTCAAAAGGGAATCATTCAGCTTGCACTTTTCAGCCTGATAGTCTGAGGTCTGGCCAGCTGATGAGACAACATCTCTAAAAACATGTGGTGTTTTATAAATGTTTGGCATTAGGATGCTGAACAGCTGCTTCTGTTACAAGGCCACTGGTAAGTGAAGTCCTGTTGCCTTGCTGACTGAACACAGACATTTCTCACTAAAGACACAAATCCACAACCTGCTGGTCAGTCTTAGCCTTCATGACAGTTTCTTATGAGAATAATATCTGTCTGGTTGGAAGCTCTGGTCTCTCAGTGGGAATTTAGCAAGCTGTTTCCATCTGTTGCTGCAGGCTATGTTTCAGAGTATGGGTTCATTTGTGACTCATGTTTCTTTTCTCTCCTTTCCCTCCCCCTTTCTCTCTCTCATCTTCTTTCCTCTGCAGAGGGGGTAAGAATGAGCCAGAACCAGAGCAACCAATCCCTCGAAAGGTGCAGATTCGTTCTCTGCCTTCCTTGGAGGATATTGATCCAGACGTGTTAGATAGCATGCACTCGTTAGGCTGCTTCCGTGACCGAAATAAACTCTTACAGGACTTGTTGTCAGAAGAGTAAGCACTTGCTCAGTCTTTATATCAGTTGGGTGTCCAGGGGCTGGGATGCTTATGAACCTGGGGAGAGGTAGAGAGCACTTTAACTGATGTCTCTCTCTCTGAGTGACTGGTAAGAGCTTTTCACCCTCTGGCTGCTCATTTGCTGGTGAGGTATTGGGAGCAAGCACTGAGCCTTTCTTACTCCATGGGTCAGAAGCTCACAGTAATGGAAGCACTGTGCTATTTCTTCCCTAGCTGCCAGGCCAGGTCACTTCATTAAAACATGGGCTGCACAGTCCACATGGGGAGGTGCCATTGATGATGTTTGTGTTGGATATACCTTTGTTGCCAAATTTTTATTTATTTCAAACCTATGCCTAAGAGTTGGTGTATCTCCTAAGCTGTTAAGAGGGACAGGTAGTAGAAAGAACTCTTAGAGGCTCGGGAGACCTGTCTGGCTGCCACTCTTGGTTTGGACTTCCTGGGGCACATAACATTGACTGTCTATGCCTCTGTTCTGTATGTGGAACATGGGAATCTTATTTCCTTTCCTCACTAGCTGCTTGTTGGAAACCGCAAGGGTCTCAAAAGCTTTGTGGTTGTGTATCTAACTGTCATGTACATGACCACTTCCAACTCATTTACAATAACTGTGACAGTTTATTTGATGAGAAAGTTTTATGTACATGTTGACCTTTTTTTCCTTTTCAAATATAAATGGTGGGTTTTTTTCCTTCTTTTTTTTTTTTTTTTCAGAGAAAACCAAGAAAAAATGATTTATTTTCTTCTGCTTGACCGGAAGGAGAGGTATCCCAGTCATGAAGATGAGGATCTTCCCCCTAGAAATGAAATAGGTACTGCAGATATGACCTTAGTCACCATGAACCTGTATGAACTAGTTCCTCTTCACTGTTTTTTTTTATAAATTCTGATTTTATTTTAATTTAAACCCAAACCCTAGCATTGCTGTTACCTTCTCAGTGAAATGGTGTATGCAGCACTGGTGAGAATCCTCAGCCTGGGGCAGGCAGGTCTGTTCTAGAAGGCTTCATCTTTCAAGATATGCCTGTCTCACAGCGCAGAAACATCCAAGTAGGTCTTGAATGGGATCTTAAAAAATGTGCTGTGGACCCACAGGCTGGTTCTATGCAGGAAGATGAGGTTTAGCAGTATAATCTAGTAGCAGAATTTTCTAATTACAAGTCTCCTTGCAGTGTTACAGGAAGTCTGCTCATGGACTTCAGTTACTAAGAAGCTGTGTAGCTGCATCCCTCTGCAGTTATATATGTACATATTCTCTTCTCTTCTCTTCTCTGTAACTGAATACATGCACTGTTGAAAGTATGAATCATATAACTTAGCTGTTTTATAGTACATAAATCAAACTCACATGTTTTTAGACTTAATAAGATTTTAAAAGCTTGATGCACAATAAGATCATATATCTTACAAAGCTCTTGTGATACCACTTTATTCCTATTTATTCATTGGTTTTTTAGGGTGCTGCTGATCACCACTAATCCAGACAAAAGGAAAACTGCTCCCCAAGGAGCTAACTCTATAAGTGACTCTTGATGTGGAGACAAGTTTACTAAAGGATTAGTCACTTCTAGCAATGATCTGAAACAGAATTTTGCATAGAAGTGTGGAGAATTTCAGATATTGTACTTCAGCACTTTGAAGACTAGAAGGAAAGTGCCCTTTATTTTCACTGGAAAGCCTGAAATCTCACAAGCCCTATAATTTTGCAGGGAAATCTCTTCTACAGGAGAAGAGCTGAAAATTCTTAGTTAACACAGCATTTTTTAAACTTCTACCTGGATGGAGCTACAGAGAGCATGTTAGCAGGGATGCTGATGAAGATGGGTAGCTGTGCCAGCTGCAGGTCCTGTGGTCAAAAGCCCCTTGCTCAGTGCAGTTTGTCATCTAGCACTCTGCTAATCAGCTTTTGACTCAAACAGATTATCCTGCCATGTAAGGACGGCATTATCTTGTTTTAGAAATGCTTTTGTCATAAGAAAAGAAACAAGGTGACGCTAGAATCTTCAAACCCAGCATGTAAGTGAATATGTAGCTATGCCCTAAATGCGTCATATATCTCTTCCGCATGCCGAAGTATTTTCGTGGTTTGAAGTGAAATATTATGGTCCACTCTTGTATTTTTTTGTGCAGGGAGCGAAAATGTTTCCTAACAGGGAAACACTGACTGTATCTCTGTGCCTCACCCACACATTTGAGCATTATTCTTTGAGTGTTTGCATGTTGTATTTCCTCTTCCACAGGGGGTTTCCACCATCCTCTGTTCCCAGCGGTGTCTCTGAGAACATGGGGCAAGGTTTAATTAGGAGCAGTCATGTGTCTGATGAGTATCTCATCATTAGCCATTAGCAATGGCCTTGCACAGACAAAGAAAAGCAGAGAACAAGTAACAATTTAATAGTAGTAGCTTGAAGAAACCATATTCATGAGAGTTGTGCATTGTCTGAGCTCTTGCCAAAAAAAAAAAAAAAGCATCTGAGAGTATTTTGTTTTTTCCTCTTTGTTGGCATATTAAGTCTCAGAAAGGATGGATGCAGGTAAAAATATGGCCAGCTACAGTTTGCCCTTTCTTCTGGTGTCCCTTTGTCTGATTCAGCTGTATGAATTTTCTTCCAAGGGCCAAGGAAGGGCCACTTCCAACGTTTTTCACGTGCAGCTCAATTTTCTTTACTTGAAAACACAGGAATGAGAAACTTCTCAGTAAAAGGAATGAATGTCAACTAATGTCTCCATAAAAAAGGGATTTTGTGAGGTGAAGTTTCTTAATAAACCAGAGAACAAAAGGTTGGGCCGGAACAGACATAGTAGATAGAGATTCTTCATCCAAACTCAGAAGGTGAACCTTTATTTCCCACCTTCTGTGAGAAGGCAGATTTATAATTGGATCATTACCTATATAATTCTATCTTTATATGTAAAAATCCTTAGAAATGGCTTTGCTTTTCTGATATGAAATAAAAGAAAAATGCATCTTTATTATTGTCAGTGTCACTGGGCTTATGGCTTGATTTTTTTTCACCCTGTCTAATGAGTCAAAGAAGAGAAGGGCAAATACTGGAGATTTTCCTATTTTTAATTCCTGGGCTTATGCAAAATCTTCTGTAGCTTTTGTGTGACACCACTTTAGTCATTTTGGCAGGAAGGGTGTGTATATAACTAACTCTTTAATATCTTTAGACTTGACAGTTTTAGTGCCTTGTCATTTCTTAATCAGACCTTTCTAAAAGGTATGTACAATACTTGATACTCTTGGCCATAATGTAGTGTAGGATTGTGGCCAATTTTAAATAGGCATCAAATACCTTTATTAGAAGCTCAACCACATTAATGCAAGCTTTGGATGTATTTTCCATCCAACTTTTGTGAATTGCTGCTCCTGAATTTATAGGTGTATTTCACCACCTACTCTTTTTGCTTATTGTCTGTCTTTGATAACTTAAAATATAGATTAGAAATCAGTATCTTCCAGCATCTTAAGCAGAAAGGGTTGATACAAAAGAATCATTTCGCTTATTAGTGATATCCTTCTCCTCCTCACTTTCCTGTTGATTCCCTCATGGCCCCTCTGGCTAATGTTCTTCTCTCAGGTTTCCTCTTTCTGATGGCTGTACAAAAGACTGTCATTCAAGTTTTTAGCTAATTCCTCTTCAAATTTCTTCTTTGCTGTCTTTTAAAGTCCAGCTTTTAGGAAAATGGCATGTCACTTTTGTAAATGTCACTTGGCTGAGTTTCCATTTCTGTTTTGAACATTCATGGATCAAATGCACTTTTAAAATATCTTTTCATGAAATATTTTTCTTGTCTTTTTCTCTTTATTGTTTAACTTCTCTTGTTTGAGTGTATTCATCACCATTCTTTTGACATTTGATGCTTTCTTCATCTTCCTTCTTCATTTCTTTTAAACTGGACTATTTTACTTTCCTGTTTTATGTCTGATATCCTGCTACAAAACTTATATCCATTTTGTATTATATATACACTCTGCGCATCTTGTTATGTGTGTTACTCTGCTGTAGATACACTTCTGAACAACCAGTTGTTCTAGTTGTTCTGTAGCATGAATTTTTTCTCATATTTTGAACTTGCTTGAAGAAATGGGAGTTTGAAAAATATAAACCTTGTCCCAGCTTACTTTTGACAACTTAACACGTATGCAGCTGAAGTCACACAGTATGAATGTTTTATTTGGTTTATCTCCCTTTGTTTTTCTGTCAGCTTTATGCACTCTTTTTTTTCTTATCTGGAGGTCATTGCCTATACCATTTTCTACTAGCTTTTTATTGCTGGATAGAGTTTGAAATACAGCTGCACTTTTTATCTAATTAATTTTTAAGAGGAATATTATTACTGCTAACACAAAGAATACTTGGGTTATACTGTAATGGGTCAGTTGTTATCACTAATCCATTTGCATTGAACCATCTTAGCTCATGTTCATTCTTTCAAGGATAAGCTCTGCCTCAAAGAGATCTTGTTCTAAAAAACATGATGTCAGAAAGAGAGAATAAATGAGTGCATGTTGGATGTGAGAAGGGCAGGATAATAAAAAGCAGGCAGTGGTCAAGTGTGGTATTTCTGGTTTTGTACAGGAATCCTGGCAGAAGAAGGATCCTTGAGAACTGGGCACTGTGAGCTTCTTTCTAACAGCAGGGGTGAAGGATGCCTTCTTTTACAAGTGGCCACTCTCCACTAAAATTAAAAATATGTCTATAAATAGAGGCAGGGAACTGAAATAACCCAACCAAAGGAAAGAAAATCCATCTGTATTTTTTTCTGCCTTTCTCCTTTATGCTGTTTTGATGCCATGTGTGGTGTTAGCTATAAAGCATTTCAGCAGGTCTGTATTTGGTTCCCTGCTTCACTATGAAGGTGTGGATAATTTGGGAAGTCACCTTCTGCAATGCATTTTGATATCTAAAGACTCGTCTTAGAACAATTTAAGTGCTCCTCAGTAAATGTTTGTCAGCATCTTTAGGAATGAATTGCCTTTAAATATCTCTTATCTTTCTTATATATCTTTTATATATATTTAAATATCTCTTATAGCTCAGTTTTCACTCTGCAAAGCTCAAGTAGCATTTTGATACCTCATAGAATTGTTACACAATAAAACATGTCTAACATTTCATTTACTATGGTAGTAAAAGCTTATGGTGTGGCTCTCATTGAAAGATTTGTCTCAGGTAGACAAGGATGTTTTATTTGTAACGCTTCCGAAGGAGGAAAAATATAAATCAGCAGAAAAAACCTGAAATCTAATCTTAAAGATGCAAAAAAAGGGTATTCTTTCAGAGTAGAATGCAATTCTGAATTTTGAGTGTACTCCTGTCCCTGTGTCACATTTAATCTGGCTGGCAGGGCTGTGGAAGGCAGGCTCTAGCAACCTGCGTACGTACACAAGGTCCCTAGATGGCTGATGCTGTGCCTAACAGCTTGTGCTATAGCCCATGCTGTCACCTTGTATCATCCCGTTATTACTGTTACCAGCTTTGCAAGCTAATTTCTGCAAGCTGTGGTATAGTTGTACCTCTATTTTACAGTGCTCATAATACCTTCAGGGCAGTGGCAGGGCTCCTTCTCTCTGCAGGTGTATTGCAAGCTACGTCTTAATGCTTGCAGATTTGGAACAAAGGAGAGGCTCCAAATGTCCACCTCCATCATGAAGAGATCTGTCTTTGTAGGGGAGGTGTGAGAGTGAAATTGTTGAGAGAAGATTGAACCAGCCTGCGTGAGGTAAGTCCCAGCTGAATGGAGCTGACAGCGTTTTCTTTCCGCTCAGATCCCCCCAGGAAGCGTGTGGACTCCCCCATGCTGAACAGGCATGGGAAGCGGCGGCCGGAGAGGAAGTCCATGGAGGTTCTCAGTGTGACAGACGGCGGATCCCCAGTTCCAGCTCGCAGAGCTATTGAAATGGCACAGCATGGACAGAGGTGGGTCTGTGTTCACCCAGGAGCCCTGCCTGCCTGGGCCTGCTCCCCTCTTTTGTGTTACACACGTGCAAAGGAGCTGTGGGGCTTTTCTGTTCGCACCAGCACTCATTACACCTTCCAGTCACATCTGCAACATGATCTGGCAGCCAGCAGTGCTGGTGCACACAGGAGCAGAAGTCCTGCCAGGGGTTTAATGGTTCTGTGTGCTTGCAGCTATTCCTCACGAAGCCACCATGTCCTCTGAGTAAGACTCATCTCAACTCTTTTTAATTGTTGAGGACATGGGCATGCAGTCTAAGCTTGCAATACAGGCTGACTGGGCAATGGGGACACTTAAGGGAGGTCTGGCAATGGGGACACTTAAGGGAGGTCTCAGACACTGGTGTGCTATCAGACAGGATAAATTACCTTCTGCTTGTTCTTCTCCAGAACCTACAACAGGAATCTAGATGACTATCTGGGATTAGGTTTCTAGCTTTTGGGCACCTGAAGTTAAATGAACACCATGCTCCATGTCATCAAAACAACTTGAATCTGAAAAGCCCTGTCCAGGCATCTTGTACAGGCCTCCAAAATGTGCTGTCAGAGCCAGCATGCATTTGAAATGGCACATAAATCACCACATGCTTGTAAAGCAACGGAATATGTATGATTTACCTCTTTTCTGTCAAAGAAAGTGTCAGTCTTGTGGAGAAACAGCAGAGGAAAATGGTGTCTCCTCAAGGCAAGTTCTGGGGGAGTAAGTGAACTGTGGATATTCACTTATGTGAACCATGGAAGTTGCTTCCTCAGTCCCTATGACCAGCCTAAGGGAAGCACATGCATTTGGTTGCACACTTACATTAATCAATCAATATAAAAGGACACTTCCCATGTATGAATGATGATGATAATGATGCTGCTGTAACTTCTGTTTCAGTTTTGACATAGTTCTTTATTTGTTCAGCTCTTAAGATCTGTTAAAAAAAAAAAAAAACAAAACAACAACAACAACAAAAAAAAACCATCCTACAGTGCCCAGAAGCTCCCTTTGCTGACTGAGAACTGGGAGAAGAACATGAAAGAATTTCATAGATATTCCAGAGGCCCCTAGAATTGCTGGAAACTTTTCCTGGCAATTGTTACAGTTCTACAAAGAGTGGTAATTTCCAGAATCTGCTAGGTCTTATTTCAGACTGGATATGTGACCTTGAGACTGCTATAAAGACTTCTTGACATATTGTAGGTTGGAAACCTTACTCAAAAACGTGATTTGGTGTGAGGTGTGGGTGAAGGAAGTGTTCAGGACAGGATGTGCTCAGTGTTCCTAATAGGACTTAAAGGAGTAAGATGAGCTGGCTCCTTGTTCCACCTGCAATGTTTACTCTGCTGCTGGGAGACGTGTGGGACATGAGGCTCCCGGAGCCAGGCAGAGGCAAATCACTTCTCCCCAGCCCAAGGCTCCTTCACAGGGAGTGTCCAACTGAACGGAACAATCAGGAGGTGTTAAGTTGACCAAATCATTTTCTGAGAGCTGAAACCTTCTCTTCCAGCTCTGAACTTTGAATTTGGGGTCAGAAGTCTGAAGAGGCAAAGCTGTGTCTTGCTATCCAAAGTATTTCTTTTGCTTTTAAATGTCTCACTTGATTCTGCACACGAGGAAACAGTTGAAGTCAAAAGGTCTGGGATAGGTTCAGAGCAGAGATATATCCAGGCTGCATATCAGTAAAGAAGGGCTTTATCTTAAGGAGGAAGCAAAACCTACAGGCACAAAAGAGACATGGGGCAATGCATACCACAAGTCAGGAACACACATAAAAATGTGATTAAGGGTGGGGAAAGGGATGTAATAACACCATGATTGATGATGATGGGCATAGTAGTGCTTGTTTTCGAAGGGGTTAAAAGGGAAGGTGTTATTTTACTCCACGTGTGAGCTTCCATAATTCATCCCATCCACATCCAGAGATGACAACAGCACATTTTGTGCTGCTGGCAGCACAGTCGTTTATAACACGAACTGGCTTCATTAACAAACCCCACTGCATGGGGAGTGTCTGGGGACAATGCATTGCTGGTGGGGCACCATCTGTCAGAACACTCTGTAACAAAGTGACAAGTGCCTTCCACCAAGGATGGGGATTTTTAATGGCTAGTTGCATATGATATTCCATGAAATGACCCACTGACAGTGGATTTTGCAGCACTAGGGTTTAGATCCCCAAGGGGTATGCTTTTTAAGAATTACTTTTTTTTTTATCTCAAGAGATGACTATTCAGTGCTTTTATCCTACAATAGTAGGAAGATTGACCATGGAATCAGGTCTCCTGTTAAGACACAGATGACTTGTGTAAACATCTGGAGACACAGTGCCATTGCTTCCTGAACTAGCAAAGATACACGTCTAACCAGCGGGCAAAACACACCCAAGTGTCTTGTGATTTATTCCTACTGTCCTCTTTCCCAGTAGTAAACAGATGTTTGCTTGCATAAAGAGGATTTATGTTACAACCTCGGGTTTACATGTCTGTATCATGATCTCTGCTTTTGGTAACCATGTGAGGGCCCTACAAGTGTCTGGTCTTGGCTTGTTTAGGGCATATCTTTCCACTGAAATTTAAACTTTGGCAGCCTCCAGTCCTAGAGGCTGAGAAAGTATTAAGTGAAAAACATAATCCTTCAGTGACTTGGTTTTGAATAATGAACAAGGAAAACTCACACAAAAGCTGCTTGTGAAGCTTACAGGCTCCTTGAAATGCTTGTGCTGACCTCTCCAGGTGTTCTCCAATGGATCTTTGTGAATGGCAAAGTTGGTATGCACAAACTCTAGCCCCTCTAAAACAAAAAAAGTTTTGTTAATTATTGGGTTTCTCTGTTAGTTGTCAACTAAACCGGGCTCATATTATATCTTAATTACTTCTGCTATTCTGGTATGCCCACCTCTCAGACTATCTGATATTTCATTGAAATGTCAAAAGAAAAGAAGTAGGTTCTGAGCTTAGTTTAACATCAGCTAATTTGTCCCTTATGCTAAAATCACACAGACTAGGAAGAATTCCATGGGAGCTAGAATCCAGCAGGAATATGGCAGAACTTTTCAGCAGCTTTGCTGTGAGAGTCCAAAAACCATTCTAAAATGGGCTTCATTAACTATTCATTTTCTTCTAGTTTTTGAAGTGGAGAGCTTGCATGAGAGATCAGCTAACATTAGGAAGCAGTGTTCTGTGAAACAGTGAAGCATATTACCAGTGAAATATATTACAGAGAGCTGCCCTTTTAGCAAAGCATGGGGAATTTCACTTCTAAGCTGCAGGGATTCAGACCCAAGATGAGAAAGAAGGACATTTCTCTATATGCTGAGTATAGGGAAGAGAGCTGGGAGTTAAGTGGTAATGGACCCTACAAATTAGAATACAAAATGGATTACTGTTCCTCTAAGAGGCTCTGTGGTCTGATTTTAACCTTTTCTGAGAGCATGCTTAGTGTTGAGGTCTTCTGGAAAAGTCGTGAGTAATGAATGCTTTGGAATTAATGCTTCAGGTGTGTTCTGTTTTCCTTGGAGACTGACAAAGTAGATGGTACCTGGGTTTTAAATTGAATAAAGGAGAGCAGGGTTTGCAAGTATGCATGGGGGAAGTCATCTTAGACCTCAGAAGTCAGGGGAAGATAATGAACTTGAGCACTGTGTAGGCGTGAGCCATGACTGTAAAGCAAAAGAAAGGTTTTTCAGAGCATTGTTTAAAAAGGGGAGGATGGGTTGGGGGACTGGGTGTCCAGCATTGCTACAGGTGACTCTCTTTTATAAAAATGTCCACACTAGTAACTGTGTTTTCTCACTTTGTTCCTGCCATAGTAAAACAATGTTCAGTAAAAGCCTGGATATCTCTGAAGCCAATCCCAAATTCAACAAAGAAGAAAGGTATAAACAATGACAATATGTTCCTCTCCTCTACCTCACTGCTGAGACCTTAAAGATGCAGTACTTACCTTCTCTGTGTGGGGACAGAGCTGTTCTCTCTTTCCTCTTTAGAGAGAAGAGGGTGGGATATTTACAGCTCCATACTATGTATGTTTTTGTACAGTATTGAGGCTATCCCAAATGCAGCCTTGGACTGTACCAATGATTTCCCCACTAAAATTTCATCCTACTGCTATTTCTGGTTCAGTTCTGCCATGAGTAGAAGTTCTGCCCAGGGTAGAAGATGTATTTGCTTAAGACTTCCTTGGGAAGGTTTGGAATATAAAACACTAGGAAAGCCCAGAATGTTCCACTCTGAGCATTAGAAACAGCAGCACAACTGAGTGAGTAACAACAGTGGTAGCAAACTTTGGAAATTCAGTCTGACTGACAAAATATTAAGGACCTCTGGTAAGAGACAAACTCTTTAAGACTACCCAGAGGACACAAGAGGAAAACATGATTGAAAACGGGTTTTGGAGGATGATGCTAATCTAGCAGTGCAAGTGACAGATGCTGAAGAACAACAGAAAGGGCAACTCCCAACTGTCAACAGAGGCACAATGGAAGACAGGTAGGCCACCACATGTATAGATTTTAAGTGGACTTATGTGGGTCCATGAACACAGAAAAAAAATCATACTTTTGTGAAGGTTTTTAGTGTACATGTTGTTTCTAAAATTTTGATCTCAGAAGAAGAGAATTTTTCTCTGTGTTGAAAACTGGCATCCCAAAGGATAACTCTTCATCAAAATGTAATCCTTATACATTTTGGACAAACACTTAGCTTACCCAAAGGTTACAAATGTGTCATATGATTCAGAAGGGAAGAAGCAATGGCTTCCTTAAAGGAACCAATGGACTTTGCAAACCATTCTTATTTCCATTTCCCCTTTTCATAGAAATATTTCTATATAGAGATAAAGATGGGCTTTAAGCCTCTGGAGATTTGCAGGATGTTTGAGGGACTGTTTTGGCCTTTTGCAGTCTGAGACAGTCTTTTGTGGTCAGTGTTTCAAGTCCTGAACCTGCCACAGTAAAGAACATCGTGCGTCTGCAGGA